TATTTACAAGGCAGAATTGTTTTCATAAGCATTTATTTTTATATGTTTTCAAAAGAAAAACAGCCCACTCTTTATTCTCTGATTTTTAAATTTAACAGTTAATAATTTATGGTCACTGAAAAAGATCAAAAAGTAGGATGTGATCTCTTCTTTCATCTATGATATATGAATGGTGAAGTGAATTTTCCCATGAGTATGAAGGATAATTCAGAAAGGTGACATTAAAAGCAGAGCCATTTGCAAAGTGAAATTAAAATAGATGTGCTTTTAATCAGGTCTCATTTTCACTGTGTGGACTGCCTGTACTTAGCATGCTAGATGTGCTCAAAGAGTTCAGTCATGTGTAATGGAAGCCCATTGGGGAAAAGCATCTGAGCCTCAAACTCAAGCTTTGAATGCTAAGGAGCCAACAGAGCAGATAAATTAATAGAACCATTTAAATAGGAGACAGAATAGTTACCAGATATTTAACAAAAATTTGGTTACCAGTCGAGTTCCACACTATGACCTTTTTCATAAGAAAACATACTTAAAATATAAGCACTGTTCCTAAAGGCATAACATGAAAATATACTAACTAGTTCTAAAATGTTTTGTTATGTTTTAATTTAACAGTTAATAACTTATGGTCACTGAAAAAGATCAAAAAGTAGGATGTGATCTCTTCTTTCATCTATGATAAATGGATGGTGAAGTGAATTTTCCCATGAATATGAAAGATAATTCAGAAAGGTGACATTAAAAGCACATGAGACACATGAGAACCTGACAATACAAGCAACCTCCTAGTATTAGAATCAGTTTTTTTTTCCCCAGAACAGTAGAAAATAAAACAGACAAAACTACTACATTATTCTCAAAGAGTGTTTTGACACCTTGCTAGTTCTGCAGGTCAACTGAATAAAAAGACCAGTCTATTAACAGATTTATTTTTATATAGGAGGCTCACTGAAGTGAAATTATACATACATCAATGATAAAACTCCAATCAGTTGAATAGTATTAGCTAGCCAGTCCTCTAAATCATTCTTTCACACTTCACAATCTACTTTACTGTTCAATTCTCTAAGAAAGTTAAATTATTTATTCCATGTTGTTTTTGGTTTTCCATAAATGGATATAATGGCTGATATTTTCTTTTTAAAAAATCAATTTTTATATTTCTACCATTTCCTTGGAAAGTTGCTAAAAGTAACTTTCTTCCCTCTATGAGGAAATACTGCTAATATATCTAACATTTAGAATTGGGAATACAATTTACTAATGGTCTAATCAAAGCTATGGTTTGTCCAGTGGTCATGTATGGATGTAAGAGTTGGACTATAAAGAAAGCTGAGCGCCAAAGAATTGATGCTTTTGAACTGTGGTGTTGGAGAAGACTCTTGAGAGTCCCTTGGAGTACAAGGAGATCCAATCAGTCCATCCTAAAGGAGATCAGTCCTGGGTGTTCTTTGGAAGGACTGATGGCTGAAGCTGAAACTCTCCAATACTTTGGCCACCTCATTCGAAGAGTTGACTCATTGGAAAAGACCCTGATGCTGGGAGAGATTGGGGGCAGGAGGAGAAGGGGACAACAGAGGATGAGATGGCTGGATGGCATCACCAACTCAATGGACATGAGTTTGAGTAAAGTCCGGGAGTTGGTGATAGACAGGGAGGCCTGGTGTGCTGCGATTCATGGGGTCGCTGAGAGTCACTCACGACTGAGTGACTGAAATGAACTGATGGCATTGAATAAAAAATAGACAGGAAGGAAATTAACAAATATTGATCATGGTTGTCTCTAAGTGGTAGAATTCAATTTTTCTTTTTTTTTTTTTGGCTGCATCTTGAGGTTTGTGGGGATCTTAGTTCCCTAAACATGGATAGAACTGCCCATAACCATTGCAGTGCAAGCCCCGGAGTCCAAACCATTGGACTGCCAGGGAAGTCCAGAATTCAAAACTTTTTTTAAAGTTCTCATTCATCTATATTTTCTTAACTTCTCTTTGGTTAACATGTATTGCTCTTGCAATTAGAAAAAAGTTAAAATGAGTTCAAAGTCAGCTTCTGGGGGACTTTAGTTAAGGGCTCCTCTGAAATGCTGGTACTTCACTACATTAAATCAACATATTTATGGTAACAGCTCCCACATGAACAAAACATTATTACTATTATTCTCTGTAGGTTCAGAGAGTTAATTCAACCTTTTAAAACTGTGCTGCTAATCCTCATGTGAGAAAAAACCACCTCTTCACTGTAAGTGATATACAATAGCCAAAACACCCCAGGTCTAAGAGATTGTCACTTAAGCATCAAGAAGTAAGCATAATATACATAATGCAAATCAAGGCTGCTGATTAATTCAGAGAAAACTATCAAAGTACACTTGATAGCATCTCACAAACAATAGCACCAAATCAAATATACTTAGTATCTTGTTACATGTGTATTGAAATTTTCAGATTTAGGGTGTTGAGCTCTCCTACTGCTCCTCTGAAAGGCCTTGCTCTAGTTTGAAGTAGAGAAGACATCCTGAATTCCCTCTTTTAAACCTTACATCTCTGAGGCTCTGAAGGTACATTACACGGCTAATTCCAAATATGTTTTGAAACTGTTTACATTTTAATTAAATTTTGCTATTTAATAGTGATGCTACTTTAAGTCATATCTGCTTCAGTATTTTGCTATTAATCTTCAGGATGGTAATGATTGCTAATTTTATATATATTCCATAATTAGACACTTGAAACCTTTTGGCTTAAAATAAAACCACATTCTATTTAAACGTTAAGTAGGACATGATGCACTTCTGAATTAAATGCTGAAATTATTTTTAAATTTAAAGTTAAATTTCAGTATTTTGATAAAGGAGATAATAGAATTTGTTCAACCTACATACAACAAAAGTCCTAGAAACCATCCCTTACAGTTCTACTTTGAAAATACTTTGGCTGGAAAATAATCTGCCTCAAAATAACTCTCTTAGAAAATGCTAGATTAACTTAAAATGCTTTATCTAAGAAAACAGAACCAGCAAGAGTCATAACGAAAGATTTCACTATATACTATTAGCTGGTGGGAGGGGCACAATGAGACGAACTAACAAAAGCAGTTTGTGTTTTACCCACCCCCCCCCCAAGATAATTTAAACACACACCCAAGCCTAAACCCTTCACTTAAAAAAATTCACCCAAAAAAGTGGGCTTTAAAACCTGGTTACTTTTGTTCTCCATGGTTTTCAACTTAAATACATCGTTTCTGTTAAGATCAGTTTCTCTAGATTCTAATTATTAGCACATAAGAAATTTGATTCTATGCCTAACTAAAATTTCAAGACGTACATACTCAAAATTTTCTTCCCCTTATTTAGTAGTGTTATCCTTATTGTAGGAACTTTGTCTTTAAGTACTCTCATTAACCATAATGTGTTAAGACATAATCTCTAGCAGAAATTCTGCAAATTCAAGGGACTATTTCGATTGATCTCATCTTTTCCAAGCCTCAAAAGACAGTGTAACCGTTTTAGCAGGGGCAGAATTCGATTCAAGACAGCTAAGAGTTCCTGTTAGGAATCTGGCACCAACTCAAAATTCCCAGCAGGAAAAAAGATCTCCCTGAACTAGGACCCACTGAGTGGCTCCGCCCAGAGCGATGACCTGGACTGACCTCGGATCAGCGTGGTCAGTGGCTCACTAGCACCTGCGGGCAAGTTAGCAGGTGCTAGAGAGCATAAAATGCAAAACTGCAATTGAACATCAGTCTCTAGGAGCCCCCAAGGTGCCTTTTTCGCAAATTCCCTCTTTTAAACCTTACATCTCTTAGGCTCTGAAAGTATATTACACGGCTAATGAATATAAAAAGACAATTAGTCCACCAGGGAAGCGAAGGTGGTGTACTTCAAAAGAAGAGTGGCAAGGAAACAAAACTCAGACTGGAGAAGTGGCAAGCCTCCACGCCCTGCCAAGCGGACCTTACTGAACCTGATGGATTTCAAAAACGAGGTTGAATGGAAGTGAAATACGTGGCAAGGTAAAGAGTTGGGGGGTGAGGGAGCGGGCGGGTTAAGAACCTACAACGCTGGTAATAATTTCCACCACACTCCGAAAGGAAGAGGAAAAGAGAACAAAACAATAGGCACCTTAAAAAAAGTAAACGCGGTTACTATGGTTACCATGCTCTAACCTCAATTCTGCAAATGGAGACAAGAGCGGCACGCCAAAGCCCTTTCTTTGTCTGCATCCACACTCGGAGGACCAGCCCAGCTGCCAGCCCCACCAGCGGCTGGTGTCGAGGACCAAGCGCAGGGTTCCAAATAAGACACCTTTATTTAGTAAGCAAGAACTGCAGGCAGTGCCTGATGGAAGCCAGCGCGGCCATCAGCCGGTCCTTCGATCAGAGCTGTTTCCCCTAGTTGGGATAAGGTTCCAACACTTTCCAGTCATCGAATCCTGTCAGGGGTCAAGGCGCAGGCAGGAGTGGAAGGGGGCTAAAGAGACACGGTTCAACCTTAGCCCTTACACACAAAGGGAAGGCCATTCTCCAGGAAACCCGCGGGACGTAATTAATAACCCCTCAAGAGACTAGTTTCCGCGAGTGGGAGTAGAGGACACAATGAGTACGGCGCAACTGAGGTGCTCAGATGCACTTCACATCAAAGACGGTACCACAAGCTGCGCGGAAAAAGCCGGGCCAAGACAACCCAGTGCGCAGGTGCGCGACGCCGCGACTCCAGACCTTTGGGCCTGCCCCTCCCCCCACTTCTCGCAAAGGCCAGAGGAGTTGGCTCAATGCGCTTGCGCCACGACGGAACGTTGGGGGAGGGGAGAAAACCTGTTCCCTTCATTGTGAGAGAACCGGCCCGCCTCGCACGGCGAGCGCGCGCGCGCACACGTACCACTCTCACACTCGTACACGCGCGCACCGAGCCTGCCGCCCAGTGCGTTGCGCATGCTCCGGGAGAGAGGCGATTTTGGAGCCTGCGGGTTTTTGCTGAGTTTCCCTGAGAAGTTTCTGGAAAGATGCACTTCAAAGGAAGCTGGGGGATGGGGAGCGCAGGGAAGCGAGCGTTTGAGAAACGGAAAAGCGAAAAACCCCAAGTACACCGATACCTTCCTGCCACCATCTATCAAGCCACGACCAAAGCAAAGCCCAAGCCCACCGAGACCCTCACGCCAGGGGAAAAAGTATGGGGACCACAGCAGCCGCTCCTTCCTCTGCCCGTGCCCAGCCCCCGAGGCCCCTCAACACAGGGAGAAGGGAGAGGGCAGAGGGCAATGGTGAAAAGCCTAAAACGCTCACTGGATGTTTGCGTGGTGGAGCCAAAGCCGACATTGGGGCTCTAGAGATGCGCGCTATGGGCCACCGGCGGCTCTTCGCTGCGCGCTGGGCTGTGGGCTCAGTGCGTTGGGATTCGACGTAGCTGCCGAAGGACTGGTCTGGGGCTCTGCCCCCCGTTTCCTTAATTTCCCCTCATTTGGAGGCCTCTTTGATCCCCCCCTTTTCTGTCTTTGGCGACCTGAAGCTAGAGCTGCGAGTGTGGAGCCCCCAGGAAAGAGGTGCTCCCGGCTTAAGGGGCGTCCTGGGAGGGCAAGGGTCGCCTTGCAGGTGTGCAACGCTCAGTTCTTTACCCTCTTCACTAGGAGCCTCCTTAAGAGGGGGCCGTTTGGAAAAACAAAGGCGACGCGTCGTTTGGACTTGAGAGGCGGCGTGGAAAGGCTGGTGGGGGTCTCCATGCAGCCACGGGGGCGCGCCAATGCCCGAGGAGAGCCGGGGCTCAGACTGCCTTGAAGAGAAGGCTCGAGCTGGCATTGCTGCGCTGGGGGGAGGGGTCCGCGGCGTCTTTTATTCGCCAGCGCCAGCTCGGGGCCTGGCCCGGCTGCCATTTTGTGGCTCGGCCGCCATTTCGCGCGGCCGCGGGTGCAGGGCTGGGGGGTGGGGGGCGGGGCCGGCGCCGGCGACCGCGCGCCGGGCTGCCCCCGGGAGCGAAGTCGGGCGGGTCGCCTTTGTTCTTCGCCTACGTGCCGCTAGCTGCGCTCAGGCTCTGTCGCGACCCGCCCCGGACACGCGCCGGGTGAGCACTCGGCGTGTGAACCTCTGAAAAGCACCGAGAGGCGTGCACGGAGTCCCAAGTGCCTCCTGCCTTCTAAGCCCTTGAAAAGTGGGCTCTCACCCCAGCACTTGCTGTGTGAAAAGGGTCGGTTTTACGAGGCAGTGCTCAGAACTCCAGCGTGGGAAGCTGTCATTTCACCTTGAGAGTGAAGGCGCTTTCTGCAGCTCTGTGCTGCTAGGAGCACTAAGCCTTTTGGAATGCAATGTTTTGAACCGCAGTGGCGTTTTGCAAATGGAAATTAAACTGCAGAGCTGGGAGACCCAACAAAGGTGCTAAACTACAGGGTAACAAAGAGGTCGGTCTCTTTAAAAAAAAAAAAAAAAAGTAGTGTCTTTGCAGTGCTGTCAGCCTCAGAAGCGAGAAGTTGCTTTTCATTGGCTGCCTGTGAAGCACGCACTGCGCAACTATTTTCAGATCAGGTTTTATAGCCCCTTATTTATATCTGAGCTATAAACTGAACAATAGATTGGAATGGCTTATTTTGTCGGTTGAGGATATATTCCATTTAACTTTTAAAAATCCCTTATGAATGTATAAATAACAAGTTGACTCAATAAAATCTCCTTTACCTTAAAGTGTGATTTCAAATTCTGAAAGAGCTGTTTTCCTGACATCCAGGGAAATATTTAAATATGAATCTTGGCATTGTGATCTTAACTTTGCGACTCCAAAATCACTAAAGCCAGGAAATTAAAAGAGTAATGCTACTAAATTTGTCTTCTAGATCTGCTTTTTGCGCGAGGTATTTTTGTTTAATTTTGTGCAGTGTTTTTCTTTCCCCCCACAGTAGCATGAGTTCAAAAAAAAAAAAAAGTACAGTAGCATGTGTTCATAATTTAGCCAGCTTTTCCGGCTAAAATTTTTTTGGTGTCACAGCTACAGTAGTTTTTTGGGTTTTTTTTTCCCCTACTACATATAATTACAGGCGGTTATCTGTTTCAGTAACTGGGGGGTTAATATATAATGATTGATGAAAATATAAAGAATATACTTGTCGTTAAAGGAATAGGTCAGTATTTGATGGCTTCCAGATGAAAGAAACATCTGAGGAGTGACAAAGTCCAAGTTTTATTTGAGGTTCAGTACGACTAAAACCATTGCATAGAGTTTTGATTTTTTTAATACCCAAGATTCTGTAAAGCACAATACTGTAGTTCTTTTGGTGGTGAGAGCTTACAAAATATATTTAAAATTTTTTTATTTTATATTGGGGAATAGTTGCTCTACTTAAAATGTATTGTTTTTAAAAGCTATTACTTTTTGCCTGCCCAACGAAAATTGGATAGTATGAAACTCTTAGTATTATTGGGGAATTAGAATGTGCCACCCTACTAATGCAAACAAAGTATCACACCCCTCATCAGCCAAGCAGTTGAAATTCAGGGAACGATTAAACAACCTTTCTTTCACTTTATACAGACAGAAGTATCTGTTTAAACAATTCTGATTCCTAGAATCTTTTAATTTTAAAAAACGAGTACTTATTTCCCATTTGCTATTCCATTTAACACAAAAAGCACATCCTTTTTTGTACAAAAAAAGTTTGCAATTCATATTTTCTTAAGCATAGGTAATATCTATATGTACTACAATATTCCAACTATATTCTAGAAAAGACAGAACTATAAACAGATCAGTGGTTCCCAAGGCCTAAGTGGTGGTCGTGGTAAAGAATATGCCCGCCAATTCAGGAAACGAAAGATGTGGGTTCGATCCCTGATCCCTGATCCCTGGGTCAGGAAGATCCTGCAGAGGAGGGCATAGAAACCCACTCCAGCATTCTTGCTTGGAAAATCCCATGGACAGAGAAACCCGGCAGGTCAAAAAGAGTTGGACGCTGCTAAGCATGCATGCAGTGGGGAGGGATGAATGGATGAATTTGCAGGGAACAGGGGGCTCTTTAGGGCAGTGAAACTACTCTCTATGATACTACAATGGTGGATACCTGTCATTATACATGTGTCAAAACCCATAGACCTTACAATGCCAAGAATGAGCCCTTATGTAAACCGTGGCGTGGGTGGTGATGTGTCAATGTAACAAATATATTGCTCTGGTGTGGGCTGTTGGTAGTTGGAGAAGCTGTGTGTTGAGGGCCCGGGATGTAAATGAGCTCTACTTTTCACTCAATTTTATTGTGAACCTAAAACTGCTCTAAAAAATAGTTTATCATTTAAAAAGTAAGTAGTATGTTGCACTGTTCACCTGTCTGTTCTGGCCAGTGCCATACATTTGCAAAACAGTAGAACAGAAATCCAGGAATAACACTCCTCTTCCTCTTGGCCTCAACACTTTCCAATTTATAGTCTCATGATCTGCCCAAGTAGTGAAAATACTTTTGTATATGTATTTTCCTGGGTCTCTTCACTTTGTCAAACCGGGTAGGACTAGTGAATTCCAGGATTACCAGTCCATTGTTCCTTTAGTTTTTCTTTTTTATTCTAAAACAGGTTCTGAATTAATTTGTACCAGTTTGTGTTCCCTGAAAGAGATTAGGTGTTAACCAAAACCATTAATTATACTCGGATCCTTAAGACAGCCAGTGTGGAATTGAGTGCTGTTCTAGGCCCCTTTGGCTCAAGCCTTTGATTTTATTTTTTGGCATTTGTCAAAGCTTGTGTGCACCTTTTCCAAACAGCATACAGAAATGTTAAATATCTCTACTCATTGTTCCAGGAAAGGCCAGCTTTTCATGCCAAACTCTAGCATAGGAGCAAATTTAAAACAATAGTATCCTTTTCCTGGAAAAGATAAATTATCTTCTTTAAAGACTTAGTATTATGAGAAGTTTTTCCAAATATTTTTGGCAGTAGTTAAGCACTCCCACATGCTGTAATAGTCCTTTCCTTTCTGAGGCAAAACTCAGAAGTTCAGCACTTCCGAAATATTGGAGTTCAAAGAACAAATCCCTGCCGCTAACAGTGTATTTTTTAGAAAACTAGAAGCATATCTATAAAAATAAATACTCCTGAACAACCCAACATTTGTTTGTTCTGCCAGAGTTCATATGGTCATTCCTAAAACAAGATACTGTCCTGACAGTTGTGCAGATTATATGAAACCCATAGTCTTATCATTTTGGCATCACAGTTTAAATGGTCCAGTTAGACAATACATCAAAAAGACTTCTAAAAGTCAAGATCTTTATTTGTTTAACAAATAGTATTTGAGGATCAACCTTGTGCCAGATCCTATTCCAAGTGCTTAAGATACATCACTGAATAAGACAAATCATTGTTCTCATGGAACTTACTATGAGGGAATAGAGGGAGAAGAGAGAATACATATAAAAAAGAAATAATAGGAACAGTAAGATGATGAAATATAAAGAGAGGGAGCATGTGTTAGGCCTCAAGAAAATACTGAAGACTTGAAGGAGCTAAGGGAGCAAACTGGATATTTAGGCAAGAGTTTCCAGGGAGTGGAAACAGCAAGTCCAAAGGTACTCATGTAGAAGCATGACTGGCACCTGAAGAGTAGCTCAGGAAACCAGTGTGGCTGAAACAGTGAGCAAGGCTGTATAGAAGATGTGGATGTCAGAGAGGTAAGGGGAGGGAGAGGCAGATCTGTAGAACCTGGTGGGCCAAAGTGGGAAGGCTTTGGCTTTTAATTGGTATGGAGCTGTTGCATGATATGACTTAGGTTTTGAGAAGTACTGAGAGTAAAAGATCAAGGATAGAAGCAGAAGTCTAGAAAGGAGGCTCTTTCAGTAATCCAAATGAAACATGAGAACTTCAATGATTAAGGGATCCTGGATAGATTTTTTTGAAGGCAAATCCAAGAGGGCTTTTTGATGGGTTAAATATAGAGTTAATAGAAGGGGGAGTCAAGGATGAGCCTGAGGTTTTTAACCTGGGCAACTAGAAAGACTGAGTTGCAACCATCTGAAATAGGAAGCACTAGATAGAACAGTTTTCCAGGGGAATATTAAGAGTTCAGTTTGGGACATGTTCAACTTGAAATTTATTAAATATTTAAATGGAGACATTAGGTAGCTGTTGGATATGTCTAGTTCAGGAGGAAGTTCTGAAGATATATTATTATTTTAAAATGCATAATCTGTGTCTGTGTGTGTATTTGGGAGTTGTCAGCATATAAGTGGCACTTAAAAGTCTGAAACTTAATGACATCTCCAAGGGAATAAGTGTAGATACAGAAGAAAAGAGAACCAGGAAAGCCCTGAGACATTTCTCACTTAAAAGGTGTCAGAAGAAAAGAACTTGCAGAGCAACT